CTTTTTCTTTGCTCTCAGAACTAGCTGCCTTTACAATGATCCAGAAATGTCTTCTATGGAGAAGGAGTAAGAATTCACCATCAGCAATAGCTATGTGGTTACTTATAGTGTTGTATGGCTGGGCTCCGAAAGACTGAGGACTGGGTAAACCCTGTGTAGATGTTCAGCTTTCCTATGCTCCATTCCTGAAATTACAAACTTGAAGCTAAATTTGCCAGGTTCACACCATTTCACTCACGATCACCCCTTACATTTCTTTTTTTTTTTTTTTTTTGAGACGGAGTTTCACTCTTGTTACCCAGGCTGGAGTGCAATGGCGCGATCTCGGCTCACCGCAACCTCCGCCTCCTGGGTTCAGGCAATTCTCCTGCCTCAGCCTCCTGAGTAGCTGGGATTACAGGCACGCGCCACCATGCCCAGCTAATTTTTTTTGGATTTTTAGTAGAGACGGGGTTTCACCATGTTGACCAGGTTGGTCTCGATCTCTCGACCTTGTGATCCACCCGCCTCGGCCTCCCAAAGTGCTGGGATTACAGGCTTGAGCCACCGCGCCCGGCTCACCCCTTACATTTCTTAAGGACAACCTATTGACATGGCATTCTATTTTTCTAATCCAAAAATGAGAAGAAAATGAGTATTAGGGCCAGATGTAAGAACATTTGGGCAAGAGGAATGCAATTCTGTTTTCTGAATGACATCATCTCTATTTTAATTAGTAGAAGTTGGAACTTCCATTTAATCCTTTGGTGGAATGGAGAGAAAATGTGCTTGTTTTGCAACGTCCAAGAGGAATTCGAGCCTGGATGAGACTGTAGGAATAATCTATTTGGATGATTACCATCCTGTGAGAAGCAGAAATCGGACACGTAGCGAATTCTTACCACATTCCAGATTGTAAAAAGCCTCACACGCAGTGTCTGATTTTAATCCTCAGAATAAGTTTATGGTACATTTCACAGACGGGGGGAGAGAGGCATAGAGAGACGATCTGATCAGTCAACTGTTTTATAGCTATAAAAAAGGCTCAGAACTGGAATTTGGAGCTTGGCAGTATAGTTCCAGGGCCAGTGGTTTTTAAATTGGAAAGAGGTGGTCTTAATGCTACATGGGTGTACCACTTCCAATTTAATGAAGGACAGAACTACTCACCTAAGAGAACAGAGTGAATTCGTGGCCAAGTCAGTTTCAGGGAATAAACTATGGTCACCAGCAAGCTTTCAGAGAGAACTTGGTCATCCAACAAGAAGCTTCTAATTTGGTTTGAGCTGTGGAGAATCTAGTATTGTCCTTGTTTCTAGGAATCAGGAAGCAGAGGGAAAGGCCAATTTTAAAGTGTCTCTATTGTCACCTTTTGCTGTCTTTGGACCTCTTTTCCACTGAGGTCTAAAAGGAAGTTGGAAAATTATAGTGAAATATCTCTGCATTTGCCATGTTGACCTTGCAGCTTAAAGGCAGTTTAGGCACAAAAACTCCAGAGACAGTCCCAACTGAAAAAGTGCATGAAGAACAAAGAATGGGCCAGTTCTGGGTGCAGGCCTGTGAGTTAGCCCTGCTCTGCAAGGAATTTTTTCTTTTTTTAAAGAAAATTTTAAAAAAAGAACAAAGACTATAAAGAGACTTTTGAAATCACACATCTATTTTTCCAAAGGTCACTCTTATCCCACCTCTTTTAGATGAAGACAATTGCTTCAAGCAAATTGGCACATGAAATTCTGCAAAGCAGTAATATACCTCGATGCCCCGGTCCATGATAATTCTTTTTGCGACGATTTCGTCCCACAGCCAAGTAGCACCTTTAGCAGTTAACAGAGCCCACAGTTAACAAACGGCATGGAGGGCCCTTCTGGAAGCCCAGCCAATGGCCGGCCCGTCGCTGCTACATCCTGGGGCTTACCCACTTCTTTGCCTGCCTTGTCTGTCTTGCTCCTTATTCCTATGTAGGGCTGTTTTGGTTGGGAAGGGGAAAAGCACTGCTTCTTGTTTGGGTTCATTCCAGGGGTGGGCATGGAGGAGGGAGGGATACTACATATTGTTATTGTTACTTCCCACTTTTTAGAAGAACACATTCTTCTCAAGGCTTCCCTTTCTTCAGCCTTCTCTTTCCTGTGCCTTTAAGAGGCACATGATCACAGTGTGGATGATGAGACTGGGATCAGGGGCACGAGTAGCCAAGATTTTTTCTTTTTCTGACTTCAGCCCTGGATTTCTGGCTTTCTTTAGTATTAGAATGAGGGCTTCATTTATCTTCTTCTGGCTCCTTTACACTGCAGGCCATCAGGGACAGAGGAGCATTCTGTGTGGAAGCATTTTACACCTTCTAGAGCTGGTACTGAATGGGCAAAATGGGCAAGGGTTCTTCCAATGGGCTCAATCAAGCCAAGAATAAGATGGAGTGTGTGCTGATACCATAGTGGCCTCTTATTTTCCTCAGAGAGAGAGGGGAAGGTTATGCCCATTTTCTTCTTTTACATAAAATGCAGATGTTTTTATTGATCATTAAATGATGTTGTCAGACAGTTTGTAAGGACCTCATTCCATACATGTTAGACACAAAAATAGCCTGTTGTAAAATTATCAGAAGGTTGCTCTGTCTCAGGAAAAAGTTACTTATAGAAAATTAAGCCCATTTGCCCAAAGATTAAGACTATTGAATTCTGATTAAAAGTAGTTTTTTTTTCCAAAAAGGATACTGCTAAAAAAAAAAATAAATAAATAGCCCCGGGTGCTTGTCTTTTTCCCTTTTAGGTTTGGATTTTATGGATTCCTTCATGCTCTGCAACTTGCAACCTGCCTCCTTATATTTTTACATACTTGTTGAAATTTCAATGATCAAAGGTGGCTCTATCTGAGGAAGCTTAAATTAGCAGCATTGTTAATAGCTTCATTAACTCCACAACATTGCTATTCTCTCAAATATTCACCTTCCAAGTGGTTTCCTGTATTTACTTACACGAAAACTGTTCACTTTTGACTATCTCATTTATTTCATAAACTGGGTAAACAGGCTCATCTTTTAGCTTTTGGGTTAGCAAAAGCTGAAGGGACGAATCAAAGCCTAGAAGATTTACAAGAAAGCCAGTATGGGAAATAATTGAGGCTGGGCGTGGTAGCTCACGCCTGTAATCCCAGCACTTTGGAAGGCCGAGGTGGATCACCTGAGGTTGGGAGTTCAAGACCAGCCTGACCAACATGGAGAAACACCATCTCTACTAAAAATACAAAATTAGCTGGGCAGGGTAGCACATGCCTGTAATCTCAGCTACTTGGGAGGCTGAGGCAGGAGAATCGCTTGAACCCAGGAGGCGGAGGTTGCAGTGTGCCAAGACTGCACCATTGCACTCCAGGTTGGGCAACAAGAGCGAAACTCTGTCTCAAAAAAAAAAAAGAAAGAAAGAAAGAAATGAGATGGGCATTCTGGTATAAGTATTGGCTCAGGGTCCAGGATGGTGAAATAAGGTAACCATGTTCTTTAAGCTTCACAAGACTATTTCAGATATTCGGACCCACTCACAATTTTTAGACAATGTGCCTCAAATTTTGGTTTAGTAAATATTTTCGATGTGGGAGAAAGTCAACCGACACTGTGAGAGAAAGAATCAAATTCCAATCACCAAATCAAACTTACTACAGATTTCTGGGAACAACTGCAGCCAGGAAGGACATTTTCAAAGCAGAAACAAGATTTAAAAAAAAAATGACCTGGTTTATAAAAGTATGTAAGAAAAAAATCTCAGGGTCACAGTGGATAGAAAGAGGATACCTCTAAATCAAACTCTGCAGGTAAGAAAACAAGTCAGAACTAGAAATAGTCATGATGACTTGGCTTCCCAAAGGAGACAAGATTGGTGCAAGCAGGGTAATAAAGCAAAGAGCTATTTTCTCATTTCAAAAAAAAAAAAAAAAAACAACACTGAGGTCCTATTGCTGCTAATAACAGACATTACGATGTATGTTCACTATATATAATTGAAAATGCATTAGCAAGTTGTGAGAGAGTTCTGATCGTTCCATTTTACAGATACAAAAATGGAAACTTAGATAAGGTAGGTGACCTAGCCAAGTCCCCACTGCTAATAAGTGATGGAATTGCTGACCATATTTCAAATGAAAGATACTTCACTACCATAAACTGGATGGGCAGACAGCGCGAGTTACCAGTGGCTTTATCTGCAAAGCTTCTAGAATGAACGTGCTCAGCTGCTACAAATTCCACAAGTAAAGCACAGTGACCTTTTCCACATGCAAGCTTATGGCTCAGGGGCAGAGAGAAGCAAAATCCACAGATATGTCCCAAATCACCCTTTGCAAACTAATAGTTTCTCTTTCATCACAACTGAAATTCCTCCTCTATTTACTGGCTTTTGGTTTTCTTCCTCTTGGGTGGATGCGGTAGGAATCCACCCAAGAGGATTTGAGCAAGTTTTAGGCTTACTCCTCAGATATCTGGGAACCCATTTGACCTTCTGAAAAACAAGCTTTTCTTTAGTTATAAACATCCATCTCGGTAAGGGAGGCTCACCCCTTTTCAGTCAAATCCTTTGGTTCCTAGAAAATGTTTGGTGGTGGTTTATTGCTTACTGTTTCTTACTGTTCAGCACGTGTCAGACATTACTTCAGGCAGAACGTGTGTTTGTTTGACAAGGAAAGGTCATTTATTAAAAATAAGTAAAATGGCATGATTTCCAGAATGCACTCATGCTCCTTTATCTTAATTGACTTTGGGAATGAGCCTTCCCATGAGTTTTTTACTTCCCTGGATCATTTTGAAAAGGTATAAAATGCTTCCAGAAACGATTTTGTAAAAATAAACAGATTTCATATTTTGGAGAAAAGCCTGATGAGAAGAAGACTGTGTTTTACCAGATTTTTCTATTTTAAGAAACTTGCATGATTTAAATATTTTCAGTATGTCCTTTGAGGAAAAAAGCAAACACAGTGCCACCCACATCATTACTAAATGCTTCTCATTTGGTTTCTCACTCTTTTTCTTTTCTTCACAGTATTGACTTGAAGCTGAAAGAAAAGCCCTAGCTGGCCACGCTGGAATAAGAGGATGCTTTTTCTGGTTCATGGTTCTGCTGAAACATATCTACCTGGAGGAGACAGGGCTGATGTTACCTTTTTCCACTTTGCACTACCTGGTGCCATTCTAAATTTCTAAGGGGAGTGATAGGAAGGGAGTTTGTTTACTCTTAACATGCTTTATGAAATTGTGTGTACTGTCCTGTTTTGCCAGTTATGTGCCTCAGAGATTTTAGTTGAGTCTTAGCAAGACAGTAGGACCTTCCATTTCAATACTTCGTTAACACGGTGCAGTGATATTTTGTCCCTTAGACTGGTGTAAGGGACAGTAAGATACCTTTAATCCACTGTTAACTGTGAGTGGATTTGTTTCCATAGATTAGCTGGATTTCCCTTTGGTGATTGCATTAGGTTTAAAGTACACAGGGCTCAACTCTCCCCAGGAAAATTACCCCTGTATAACTCCACCTTTAAAATCCTAAGCCTGATGAGGGCAACCGTGAACCACACAAGGTGTAAAACCATCATCAGCCAAGTGCCCACTTTGTTCTTGTTTGCCAGAATCTGCTTTAACTTCTCAAAGGGAAGCCAGGCTTTCTAGTCCACGTCAGCTTCATTTTAGTTGTCAAATTGGGCATCATATTTTATGTAAATTGGTCTAATTTAAGAATCAGTGTTACATGTTTGGTAGCTCTCTGAGCTTCAGGCCAGAAACTCAGTTCAAGTTGTTAACCTTTTAAGTGCCAAGAACTCAAGTGTACCCATAAAGAAAGCATTACTGAAACACAGCCACACCAACTTGTTTTTGTACCGTCTGCAGCTACTTTCACACTACAACCGCAGAGCTGAGCAGCTGCGACAGCCCATATGTCCCCAAATGCCTGAAACACTGACCGTGTTTAGAGAAAAACTTGGCTGACCCCTGCTCCAGCAACTGCATCCTTTCCTATTCCACCCCAAACTGTATGTAGATAGTTTCTCTAACAGAACAGACACATGGGGCTACAAACTAATTTGTTTTTGTCAAAAATCAATGTTTTGACATCCAGACAGTAAGATACAAGAAACGGCCTGCTGTGAAAGATGAGGAGCCCTACCCACAGGATAACAGCCTAGGTTGCAGTTGCCAAAAGGAAGTCTTCTTAGAAGCACCCTTTTTAGCAGGCGTTGCTGAGGTCTGTGCCTCCCTCTGGGAACCATTCTTAGTCCCCGGTGTCACCTATTCCAAAGAAGCTGGCAGAAATAAAAATGAAGGAGAAAGAAGGGTTTCATCATAGACTGATGGTAGAAGATTCGCTGGGGAGAGCTGTCCAGAACACTTGGTGCCCTGGGTATAAGGGGCCTGGAACTGCTTTGAAGTAGATAGGTGATTGATTTTCTCTGACCTCATTTCTTCACGTCTGCCTCCTCCTGTCCTTCCACACATACAGTTCATCCCTCTTTCCTCCATAAGCCTCTACAGTTTTCTGTTTTCTCCTCTTGATCCTTTCAACCTCGTGTCTTATTGAATTGTATGTTCTATTGGATCTCCTTCCTCCTAACATCTGGCTTGTTGGACAGAAAAAGCCCTACAGCCCACCCCTCCCACAAGCCACCTCCACTTTGAAAGCCCAAATTATGCCTCTCCCAGAACGTCGTGTTGACGTAAATACGGTTACCCAATATTCCTGTTTGTTCACCTATTTGCCACTTTCACTCGGTAGCGTTCCATTCTGTAAAATGAATTCCATGGTCACCCAGTCACAGGAAGTAATAAAGAATCCAGTGTTCAGTGTAGTGGTGCCAACCTGAGGGTGTAGAGCTGTTCATAGAGGGCTCCTATTAGAGCCAAACAGACATAACAACAATCTCACCATTTATTTATATGTGTTTTTAACTTGTCCAGCTCATCTATGGAAAACTACTCAGGTGGTATGCCATTGGGAGCCTCATCTTTCTACATGAAAATTGTAGGCATTTGTCCCAATCAATGATTTTGTTTCAGCTGTTCTGTGGGCTGCATATCCACTCTAATATTTAAGTATCTGCTATTTTATTATCTTAAAAAGACACATTAATTTAATTGCATGTGCTAGAGAAAAGCTACCATGTAATTTCACCCCAAGTAAATAGAATCCTAGATGAATCCTAGAAAAATAATCCCTAAGCAGATAGGTAGACAGAGGTCAACATTCGCCTGATTTAGCTCTCTAGCTCTTGCATTCTGAGCATTCTTGCTTTGGTTCTGACTTCCGGGAACTGCTTTGCACGTCTCCTGTAGATCTGTAGTTAAGGGAACCAAGGGGTCATTGGGGCAAAAGCATTGTTTCTCCAAGCTCCTTGGTTAAGAGAAAGAACTGAAATCTGCACAGAAGATACTGTCAAGGAGTGGGAAAGTTTGCTTGAGGGCAGTGGCTCAGTGTGGAAGAAAATTCAGAAGTTTCTGTTGAAGCCATATAATGTTTTGCGGGGTTATCCTCGAAGACATTCTCTGAGGTGAGGAAATCGCTACTTCTAGCCTTCATCAAGATGTCATTTTAAATATTCAGTTATGGTACTATGTCTGCAACTCTTGTCTTATTACCATGCCTCGGTAGTTTGTTCCCTTAGAAACATTTAGATGTGCACAAATTAATTTTTTATATGTCTAAAGGTTTTTCTATCATAATATGGGATTGCTCAGAATAAAGTATCTATTAGACTTCGTTTTGGTAAATAAATTCTCCCTAATGTAAACGACTAATATAAAAATCTGCAATGATACAATATATCTATATAGCCTCGCGGTATAATTCAGAAATAAAAATTGATTCTGCGTGTTACGGTTTTCTTTCTTTGAGTCAGCGAGAATCTTTGGCTTCAGTTTGCAGCAGTTTTATCGGGCCGTCAGTCTAGCTGGGCACTTGGTACTGGCGGACTGTATACATTTTGGCTTTTCTGGTCACTCAGACTTGATTCTCTCTTCATTTTTGCCTTTCATATCTCAGAGTTCAACACACCAAGCTTTTCAACTGTGTTATTTACTCTTTGGATAAGCGATTCTCACTTTGGATACATCTCCGTGTTTCATGGTTACTTGATTTTTGTCTTCTCCTTTCTCTGCCCTCTGCCTTTTTAATGGCATATATTTATTTTTAAATTAAAATGTGTTCAATATCATTTTATTTTTAGTTGGGGTTCCCCCCCAACACTTGCACAACCTTTAGGCAAAACCAGAGTTGAGAGTCACCACTGTGCTATTTTTTAACTTAATAAACACATGTGAACCTCTGAGAAAGTTGTTGGACCACTCAAATGAGAAATTGCTCTACAAAAAGTGAGACATTGCGTGTTCTCGTGATCTAAAAATCAGTTCTGGTAGATACTGTCCTATACGCAAGAAAGGGAAGAAGCAGAAGAAAAGGCTGACAAGTAATTGCAGGCAAAGGAAAGGCATTCAGCTACAAGATGTGCTACTGCATTCATTCTGCTGCCGGACCTAACTATGGTGGTGGAAACTGGACGCAGGCTAGGTGTCCAGCGCGGGGGAGAGGGCTGGGGAAAGCATGGTGAATACACCCTATGGTATACCACAGCTGTGAGAAACAACAAACCGTATCATAAAGCGACACTTAAATCATACGGTAGAGTGGGAAAAGAACAAACTTGATGTTTAGAGCACAGTGCCACTTAACGTAACTCGTAAACACACACACAAAACTACCTATTATCCAAAATCCACATGTATTTAAGGACTTAACCCACGTACTTGAGTGAGGGTAGGGCGTGGAGATCAGGGATAAAGTTGGGAGCCTGATTAAAAATCAAAATCATAAGGGGCCTTTTATAAGCTGAAGTTAAAAATCAATGAGGACAACTGAAACTTTCAGTTGTCGAAGCCAAGACTTTCAGTCATAGATTACAGAAAAGCTGAGTTGGGGCACTGCGGGTCCCCAAGGAGCTATTTCCTTCTACAGCTTCTCTCGTGTGCCATGTCCCTGGCTGGCTGTGTCTGCGTACGGCTGCGTGCCAGAAGCCCGCCCCAGGTTGCATCATCCTATGCAGTCATGGAGCTTTTAATTCAGCTGGTGCCTTTTGACACATCAATCTTCACACAGCTGTGGGCTTCATGGAGCAAGGAGACTTCTTTACCAGGCTGATTTTCCTAGATAGTTTCATTCACTTTCATTCAAAATAACCCTCTTTAACCAGGCAAAATTATTTCTTCTCAATATATAAGCATTCTAATGATACTCAGACGTTAGACACTGATAAAGCTGCTACCCATGATCTCTCTAGCCTTACTTCTAGTGAGGGACCTATCACCCTTGACACTGGATTATGCTTTCCTTGTGAAACTTCTGCCTTAGAGCAGTGAGCTGAATTACCCTGCTTTCCCACTGTATTCATTGCCTAGTGCTGTATTAACAAATTACAGTTGATTCTCATTTTCCACAGTAGTTACATCCTATAACATCACCAAGAACACTGAGTTAGTGAATACTGATCCCTTACTCCTGGGGCAGCTGGTCAACATAAGCCTGTTTTATGTGTGCTTCGGTTTAAGGATTTCTTATTTAATGTATATTGTTCCCTTGATAATGCTGAATTCACAGCCAATAGCCTGAATATAACTCACAGTTGAATGAAGCTTCCGCAACACGTATTTTCTCCTAAGACATCACAGCCTTCTTACATTTAGGAATCCCAAACAGTACCTCATCACTAGCTTAGGGGCCATTCTAAACAGTGAAATCAACGAAAAGCACAACCATGCAAAAAAAGCAAAGCAAAAATACATGAAACTACAAAGACTGTGAAAAGGATACTTGTTGCTGAGAGCTGAAACAAGAGGACAGAGTCTCACCTTGTGCGACCTCAGCAGGGAGTGTGTATCTCGGGCAATTCAAATTTTACTGCTCTGCACATATCTGTAAATGACTGTGAAAGTGCTATGAATATTGATTTTAGGGATACAAATTTTAGCGAGTCGGCAAATTTGCAAGTGCAAAACCCGTGACTAATGAAGATCAACTGTATTCCAAAATTTAGTGGCTTAAAACAACACACATTTATCATCTCAGTTTCTGTGGGTCAGGAATCCAGACACACCTTATCTGGGTCCTCCACTTCAAGGTCTCTCACAGGTACAATAAAGGAGTTAGTCCAGGGTCTCTAACAAGAAACAGTCAAAGTTCAGCTGGGACGGAATCTGCTTCCAAGCTCACCCTCATGATCATCAGCAGGGTTCAGTTTCTCTATGGTTGCTGGACTGAGCACCTTATCTCTTTTTTTTTTTTTTTTTTGAGACGAAGTTTCACTCTTGTTACCCAGGCTGGAGTGCAATGGCGCGATCTCAGCTCACCGCAACCTCCGCCTCCTGGGTTCAAGCAATTCTCCTGCCTCAGCCTCCTGAGTAGCTGGGATTACAGGCACCTGCCACCATGCCCAGCTAATTTTTTGTATTTTTAGTAGAGACGGGGTTTCACCATGTTGACCAGGATGGTCTCTATCTCTTGACCTCGTGATCCACCCGCCTCGGCCTCCCAAAGTGCTGGGATTACAGGCTTGAGCCACCGCGCCCGGCTGCACCTTATCTCTTGCTGGCTGTTAGCTAACATCTGCTCTCAGTTCTCTGCCTCATGGGTCCCTCCAGCACAGCGGCTCATTTTGTTGAAACCAATGAGAAAGATTGCTAGGAACTTACAATTTTTTGCAACCTGTCACAGAATTGACTGTTTCACTGTTGTTCTGTTCTGTTGGTTAGAAGTAAGTCACGGGCACAGTGACACAGTGACTTACTGGCTGCCCCAGGAGCAATGGATCCATATTCACTAACTCAGGGTTCTTGGTGACGTTATGGGATTATGCTTGTAATCTCAGCACTTTGGGAGGCTGAGGTAGGCAGATAGCTTGAGCCCAGGAGTTTGAAACCAGCCTGAGTAACATGGCAAGACCCCATCTCCAGAAAAAAATACAAAAATTAGCCAGGCGAGACGGCACTTGCCTGAGGTCCCAGCTACTTGGGAGGCTGATGTGGGAGGATCTCCTGAGCGTGGGAGGTTAAAGCTGCAGTGAGCCATGATTGCCCCTCTGCACTCCAGCCTGGGTGACAGAGCAAGATTCTATCTCCAAAAAAGAAAGAATTTAAAAAATTTCTTTAAAGAAGTCAGTCACTAGATCTAGCCATACTCAAAAGGAGAGGAGGACACAGGATGTAACTATCCAAAGGGAGGGATGCTTGGAGGCTGCCTGGAAACTCCACCTACCATACCCCCAATGCCTTCTGAACGTTCCTCTTTGAGCTCCTCTATTTTCTCTTACCCATTAGTGAAGGTGTTTCTCAATGTTCAGAAGGAGGCTTTTCTGCTGTTTCTCCATGACTTCAACCAGCACAACTCTTCAGATTATTCAAATTCTGGTTTCAACCTCAGACTACAAACTCCCACCATCATTTCTCTGTGCTCCCTCCAATCTCTGAGAAGGCGGGGTAGTATAGTCTTACTTCCCTGAGCTGGTGAGACCATTTCTGTACTACCTTGTTGTCTTTGAAATTACACATACTGGGATTCAACCGATTTGAAAGGATCACCTTCCTCCCATTAATCCCAGCAGAAGACCCGAGGCTGCATTTCATTGGACTGGCTTAGTTGCCTGACTATCTATGAGCCAACCACTGTAACTGGAGGGGTGGATCATGCAGGCTTAGTTGGGCCTGGGTCATTTACCCTTGGAGAGAGAGAAGGGAATCAGCCCCACTCAAGCCATAGTGACCGAAGCAAGGGAGTGGTGACTGAAGCAAAGCAAAATTGGTTTTCAGAAGAAGTGAAATTAAATACTAAGCAAGATTAACAGATTTCCAGTTAGGACATCTGAGCTGGCCTTTAAGACTAAGCAGGCTATCAGCGGGGCACACAGGTGAGGTGTAGAGGACACGGTAGGCCCCAAGAAAGACCAGCTCCAGAGCCAGCCGTCACTACACATAGTGGAGCTAGCAGGATGGACCATTCTGGCTGCTGCATGCTGAGTTTACCTTTCAAGTTTACTTCAAATTATGTCACTGGCCAGATAGAAAGGATTGCAGAGGGAACTCTAGTCTCTGCCATACGCACTGGATAATACTAACAAAAGCCACTGAGCCTCATAAAAAGCTCTCCTGCTTGTAGAAGTCAATGGAGAGGGCTGGGTGAGGTGGCTCAAGCCTGTAATCCCAGCACTTTGGGAGGCCGAGGTGGGTGGTTCACCTGAGGTCAGGAGTTCAAGACGAGCCTGACCAACATGAAGAAACCCTGTCTCTACTAAAAATACAAAAATAGCCAGGCATGGTGGTGCATGCCTGTAATCCCAGCTACTCAGGACGCTGACGCAGGAGAATCGCTTGAATCTGGGAGGCAGAGGTTGTGGTGAGATGAGATGGCACCATTGCATTCCAGCCTGGGCAACAAGAGCAAAACTTGTCTCAAAAACAAACAAACAAAAAAAAAAAAAACCTCAATGGAGAAGGGATTTCCAGTGATTTCAAATATAAAAATATTTGCATATTTTATGTTTAAAATTATTTTCTCACCAGAAAAACAATTTCCAAAAGTCCATACTGGTTGGATAACCGGTATGAATAAAAAAACTTTGCATGGTATTTTTTGTCGATGTTGTTGTTGTTGTTGTTGTCGTCATTAGAAGTAGTTCACGGCCAGCCACAGTGCCTCACTCCTGTAATCCCAGTATTTTGAAAAGCTGAGGCAGGCAAATAGATTGAGCCCAGGAGTTCAAGACCAGCCTGGGCAGCATGGCAAAACCCCATCTCACACCTGTATAATACAAAAATTAACTGGGCACG